AGGAACCAGCAAATCCTGATGCTGGAACTGCGTCCTGTTGGTGGGAATCGTCAGCACCGATTCCCCGTCGTCATGTTCAATCGGAACCACCTTCTCCGGCTCTCCATCCCGCGGTGGTTTATTGTTGTGCTTGTTCTGCCGTATATAGCCTGATTGCCTTTCTTAAATCAGTGCCCGTCCTCCTGGGCGAAGTACTCGACACATTTCCCCAATCGCTTGCCTACGACGTTCCCGCGATACCAGGTGCAAGCCAGGCAAGCATCTGCACATGCCGCTTTAAAAGGTAACGCTAGGCAGTCGAATTGTACCACAAATGAAGCCACGGGCGGTGCAAACTTTCAATAATCCGTCGCTCCGATCGCAACCCGAGCCAACCCAACTAACATTTTCTGCTTTGTAAGCCAACTTTTGCAGCGTTGTGCTGTAAAGTAGCTGAAAAAAGCTGCAGATACAGCTACAAGCAGAAGCTAGCAAAATTGTTTTGTAGAGCGTTTACTCAACCTTTTCACAACCATTATTCAATTTACCAATCTCACTGAATAACAACAGCCAATAAACGCTAATGTCACTTTTATACACATCCTAATCAACTTTCAACTTGTAGCTGCAAAACACAGCTAATAAAGTGAATATATTACTCATTTGATGGCTTCTACACAGCCAACCACTTTTGCTGAATAACATAAACATCAAAAGTGTTTTTTCAACAACTAAACAACCTGTTCTCAGCTAATCAACTGTGTTAGCGTTACTTTGGACGCATTTTTATAGTCAGCTAGGTTTATTTTTAGACGTGTGCAGTTTTACAACTTTTACTCTGCTCCATTACAAAGGTGAAGAAACTAGTCGAGAAAAGTGAGTCATGTGCACTATTATAAAGCCTCTAATCAGCGATCTTGTTGTAGAAGGGCATTTTGATTTTTTTACATCAGTAAAGTGTTGGCGTAGCACAGTTGTTAGTATCAAGGATTGCCAATGCGGTCGTCTCGAGCTCGATTCGAGATTTCCGGTGCAGGGTAAATAATTTGGTGGTGTTGCTTGTAACTAATTTGGATTAATTTGGTTTACAGCAAAATATAATCTCAATAAATTCCTTCATTAAAAAATAGCGTAGATAATATTTAACCCGGCTTCAAGACAAAGCTGTGTAGTGATTATTGGATAACCGGGAAAAGGTTGAATAAGCGCCGTTCAAGTCCACACACAACTTAACAGCAGGATAACAGCTGTATAGAAGCGTTAATGGATATGCAATAAGAGCTTGTCCCAACCGTCCCAACAGCCATAAGTAGCTGACTAAGTTCGCCAGATTTGCTTGTATAGAGGTTGAATAAAGGTTTCTTCATATCGTATAACATTTGAATACAGCTTGAGGCTGTATAAATGAAATGAGTAAAGCGTTTACATTGCGAAAATTGTTAGTTGGGAATGATCTGAGGATTCAACCCCAGGTATTTACCATTACCGCATCCAATGTTCAGCAGGACGGACCCGGGACTATGCGATTCCAAGAACCCTGCAATTCGTGGCCACGGCGAGTGCCTCCAGCTCCAATTGGGCAGTGTTCTCTTTGATACGATCAGCTCTATGATTCGCTTCTTGTTGATGCGTATCACACAGAGAACTAAACTGGCAACGGCAAGGGCCGTCATTCAACTTTCTGAACGTAAACGATACTCTTTATTCACGTTTCCTAATTGTTAGGCTGTCATTCAACCTTGCCGTATCCATCTTTCTCAGCGTTATTCCATGAGTCCATCCATATCAACTTTTGCTGGACATTACGAGCAGAGACCTTCGGGGCAAATCCACATTAAAGTGTTGTCCTGTGGTGTCCCGAAAATCCATTACTATATCACTTCCGACGGTATCGAGATTTGCCGATAATCCTCGTACTCAATCGTACCAATCTGGGGTCGAATCGTTGTAACTGTAAACAACAACAACAATATCAAAACAACAAAATAATAATCGAATGTAAACATTATTTGCAGTGGTGCCAGAATTGAAAAAAAAACTTTGCTTATCATACGGTGAAGCATAGAGGTAACTCTAAGACCAGAAAGTCCCGAAGAAACGTGCTCAACTTTTTGGCTCAGCTCTGCCCGGAAAAAAATAACCATACAATTACCATAAAATAAAATACAGTTACAAGTAAATCTATTGCCAACAATCGATCTTATTGTGCGTATATAGTACACGAATTTTTAACATATTCCCGGAAAAAAATAACCATACAATTACCATAAAATAAAATACAATTACATACATCCAAATCTATTGCCAACAATCGATCTTATTGTGCGTATATTGTACAAGAAATTTTAACATATTGTTATTACGTTAGATGTACAATACGTCCCATATAGTATGAATTTTCAACAATAGAAAAACAATAAAATGAATGGTAAATCGCTCAAGTTTGTTCGGGAAAAAGTGATTTTTTGTACGGTTAAGATACATAACAACCCCCTTGTTCTATTGTAGATGTCTCCATTTACCATAGATTATATTGTGCAAACAATAAATTCTATGGTTATTTTATAGTTGTGGACGATACAATTTATTTTAAGTACAATCAATTCTATTGTATGGTTACAATACATTTAATTGTACCTATATCGTTCTTTTTTTTACGGGTTGTTATTACAATACGTCCCATATAGTAAGAGTTTTCAACAATAGAACAACAATACAATTAATGATAAATGGTTCAAGTTTGTTCGGGAAAAAGTGATTTTTCGTATGGTTAAGATACATAACGACCCCCTTAATCCATTGTATATTCCCCCATTTTCCATAGATTCTATTGTAGAAACAATAAATTCTATTGTTATTTTATCGTTGTGGAGAATACGATTTATTGTAAATACCATAAACTCTATTGTATGGTTACAATACATTTCATTGTACCTCTACGGTTCTTTTTTTTACGGGTGGTACTCTTTTCGGTCCCAAGCTAATCGATTCACCCCTCGAAACATAGGAAAATCCACTAACCCCTCTTTTTATCTGTCAAACTTTCATAGCTAATCAAAACAAACATTGTGTAGTACTAGAATTTTGACTATAATGGGGTACGTTAATCGTTTGCTTGGGACCAATAGGCTAGTCAAGTAGTGAGCCAATTTAAAATCGTTAGTTTCGTATTGATTGTTGCTTATACCGAGGCTTATACCAGGCTCACCACTTTAGTAGCCTATTGGTCCCAAGCAAACGATTAACGTACCCTATTCTAGTTGAAATTCTATTACTACACTATGTTTGTTTTGATTCGCTATGAAAGTTTGACAGATAACATCAGGGGTGTGTGGATTCATGCAGAACATGCAGGGGTGAGTGAAATAGCTTGGGACTGCTTGGGACCGTTGTTCTGGTACTGAGTGAGCCAAAAATAATAATGATTTTCTTCGGGACCCAGTGGTCTTAGAGTTACCTCTATGGTGTTATTTTGCGTAGGCGAGCCTTGAGTCACGAGAAAGGGTTTCCGAAGTTATTTTTTCGCAACCGCTGATGTGCTCTTTTCTGTGTGTTGGTCATGATTTGGTCGATTGGTTCCGCTATTTGACAGCTCAATTGGTTCCCGAGATACTATCCGCCAGACTATGAATATAGCGACTATAGGTGAGACCCCGTAAATTTGTCGTCTCTTTCGTTCTCCGACTGATTAAATGGATGACGAAGTTGACGTCACACTCCTTCAACCGTTAAAAAAGCGGGAGAACGAAAGAGATGACAAACTCAATAAGCCTTACACATTTACATCTTATTGATGGATTTTCAGTAGATCGATTTAACTGCACATCCCGCCCCTGAAATTTGTGCCTTGATACATAGGAAGCAGAGCCTTTTTTCACTTTCCCTGATGAATTGATTCATCTGAGATGCTTCAAAACTTAATCTACAGTTGAAAAATTTAATTCTGCATCGTTTTTGCAAATATCCTGCTGGTGTTCAGGAATATTTTTGTTGAGAAAAATGGATAATTAGAAAAGTGCCTTGGTGGTTATTATCTTCCGGATTTCTTGTGTGTGAATAGTTAAGGTACAAATCAGTTCATATCTGTTGAAAATCGTACAATAAGACAATAACCGATGGAAATTGCCAAGATGTTCAATGAAAAATGCTTTAATTTGCTTTGTGAAAAATAGTTATTCTGATGTAAACAACCGGTTTGGTTGACGTTTCTTCTCGAACTCGCGTGTCACCCTCTATACGTTGCTGGTGCATTAAAAAGACCTCTCTTTTTTATGGCACAGACCTGTTGGTCCATATTGCATTGAAAAGGCCATTGATTTCTTCGCCAGCTCGCGTTGTCTGTCACTTCGTTTGTGGTATAAGCCGAGGTATAAGCGTTGAATAAGTAGAATCAAATATAATCATTGGATTTGTGCTGTTTCTTTTATTCACTTGTTCAGATTGTTTTGAAGTTCAAATCTCATAATGGGGAGATTTGAACCACGAATTTTTATGAAAATATGAACACTCACTTTGGTTAGACTTGATCGCCGAATGTTATGATCAGGGCAGGCAAATGTAATTTTTGTCACTATCATCGGATGAGAAAACGATGATAGAAATTTTCTTCAAAATCTCATCGAAATTTTTGTCATGACAGCACGTGACAGTGTTGTGATCATCGTAATAACTAGCTCATTTTTTGCTATTAATGTTACTAGTTCCGAGGAAATCATAATCATATCAGTGCCAACATTTCAAATCCTTCGAAAAGGAACGGGTAAGCCCCATCATTTGGTCCTTCGAGCCGGATCGAAGGTTCCCCCGACCAGAAGGGCAGGTGCGGTGAGTACACCATTTTCGTTTCGTCCATGCGCTGGCAATTGTTCGACCTGTAGTTGAGGTCAATAGCTTTACGGCTGACCAAACGCGCGCAAACTGAACAAGAGCCTCCACACAGTAGGCAGTTTTTTCGACCCGTTTGCTTTGGCGAAGCAACGGTGTACCGATTTTCCGATTCCGTTTCCGCGAAGCCATTTAAGATGGTATCCAATTCCGCCACAACCGAATGCAAGAACTCCGCTCCGTACTGTATCGCCTGTCCAGAGAACCACTTCCTATTCCAATGTCTAGCATTTTCCAAGATGTCCGTTCGCCAGCGACGAGAGCTGGTATCCCAGAAGCGCTTATGCTGGAATTGCTTCCGCTCTGGACACCAAAGTAGGAATTGTACATCCAAGTACGATTGCCGAAACTGTCACCAGAAACACCATACCCTGCTGCACGAAACTTCAACCACGAAGATACAATCCAGTCCAGTAACTATATCTGGTCAGTCGTCCCAACAACCGAATCCATCCACGATGATTGCCGTCGAAACCCCCGGATCAGTGAATCCGAACCCCCAAGTGAGCTTGTCGGTACAGTCGTGCCAATCCACGGTTCTGTTGGAAACGGTCAACCTCCTAGTTGTAGACCAGAATGGCAAAGGGCATTCCGCTCATGCACTCCTAGATTCAGGATCGATGAGCAGCTTCATCACGAAGAAGCTTGCGAACATACTCAACCTCCGTCGTACGAAAGTAGACATCGCCGTGTCTGGAATCGGTGAAACGTCGAAGCAGATCAAGCGCAAGTTGACTGCTACAATTAGATCTAAGCTGCTTTCGTTCAGTACTACGCTCGAGTTTCTCATCCTCAAGAAACCCACAGTCTGCCTGCCAACCATGCCGATTGATATTTCCTTGTGAAAGTTTCCTGATGTTCCATTAGCTGATCCAAGCTTTCACATTCCAGCCGACATCGACCTGATTATCGGTGGAGAAGTGTACCACGAAATGCACACTGGCAGTAAGATTTCTTTCGGTGAAGGGCAGCCTGTATTCGTCGAGACTTCTTTCGGATGGACTGTTTCGGGAAAGGTATCCATCAAATCACCTAAAGTTCCCCGTGTTTGTCACCTCACCACTGTGAACCGTAATCTGGAACAAGCCCTCCAGAAGTTCTGGGAGCTAGAAGCAGTTGAATCCTGTTCCAAGTTTATGACAGAAGAAAATCTCTGTGAAGAACTGTATGCCACTACCACCACTCGTGATTCGTCGGGTCGCTATATCGTTTCCTTGCCACTCACCCGCGATCCGCTCGTCAATCTCGGTGAATCACGTTCAATCGATGAGCGCCATTTCCTAAACCTCGAAAAACGACTTGAGCGAGATCCAACCACCAAAGAGGCCTACTGTCGCTTCATGGGAGAATACGAACGCCTAAATCACATGATGAAACTCCTGGATCCAGTAGATGAAGGCCAACCGCACTGCTACCTCCCACACCATCCGGTGTTCAAAGAATCCAGCACCACCACGAAAGTTCGAGTTGTGTTCGATGCGTCGTACAAGACGTCATCTGGATTCTCCGTGAACGACCTGCAACTAGTTGGACCCGTCGTTCAGGAAGACCTACTGTCGATCCACATCAGATTCCGCATCCACCAAAACGCATTCATGGCCCATGTGGAGAAAATGTATCGGCAAATCCTCCTGCATCATCTGTTCCGCCGATACCAACTCATCCTCTGGCGTCCCAGTCCAGACCTACCAATCGCTACGTACGAACTGCAAACCGTAACGTATGGGTTTGCGTCCTCTCTGTTGAGATCAACTGATCACTACAGTTTTAGAGTGTATATGAGACTACCTTTTATTATAAACACCTTGGTCAGTTTGACAGATTCATAAGACGAGATAAAATTAACTTCATTCTGTTCTTGAATTCCATCCGAATCAAATGCGTGTTAAATACTTTCTTTATCTGCTACCGAAAGTCTTCTCAGGTTATGGGCCCAGGGTCGAACGAAACATTAGCAAAGGGATTATGAAGCTTAGTCAGCTGGCCTATACCGAAGCAGTTATTCGTCGGTTTGGTATGGAATCGTGCAAGCCTGCGTCTACTCCTATGTGCGCCAACTTACAGTTGCATAGACCGGAAGAAGATGAGAAGCTCGATAAACCGTATCGTGAACTGATTGGGTGCCTGACTTACCTCATGATCACATCACGTCCAGATCTAAGTTCAGCCGTTTCTTACTTCAGTCAGTATCAATGCAATCCGTCACAAGAACATTGGTCACATCTGAAGAGAATATTGAGGTATCTCCGAGGAACTACACAGTATGGTTTAATCTATCGACGACAAGAATCAGTTGAGCAGATAGTCGGTTTCGCGGACGCAAACTGGGCAACAGATCAAGGTGATAGACACTCCGTTTCCGGATATGTGCTCAAGACATATGGTGCGACTACATCGTGGAGTACCAAGAAGCAACGAACAATTGCACTTTCTTCAACTGAATCAGAATGCAGTGCTCTTGCCGACTGCATATGTGAAGCTCTCTGGATCAGCAAATTATTTCAAGAATTGGAAGTTCGTGATAAGCATTCTGTCATCATATTTGAAGACAACCAGTCAGCAATAGCAATCGCCGGATCGGAAGCGCTATCTCGGAAGCTGAAGCATTCCGATGTAAAACTGCAGTTCATTAAGGAATGTGTCGCAAACGGAAAGATAAGTGTACAATACAGAGCTAGTAGTGACCAACCAGCGGATCTAATGACCAAGGGTTTGCCGTTAGCCTCTTTCAATAAGCATTGCTTGTCTCTGGGGATTCAATAGTGATTAGCTTGAGGAGGGGTGTTGAGATCAACTGATCACTACAGTTTTAGAGTGTATATGAGACTACCTTTTATTATAAACACCTTGGTCAGTTTGACAGATTCATAAGACGAGATAAAATAAACTTCATTCTGTTCTTGACTTCCATCCGAATCAAATGCGTGTTAAATACTTTCTTTATCTGCTACCGAAAGTCTTCTCACTCTCCGTTCCTGGCAACTCGCACGATCCTGCAGATCGCGCAAGACGCAGCCGTGATGTATCCAGCCGCAGCCGCGGTAGCCCAGAAGGATTTCTATGTGAATGATTTCCTGTCTGGTGCCGACGATGTTGAATCCGCTATCCACCTACGCCAAGAAATGTCCGCCATGCTTTCAGCGGCAGGCTTTCCGCTGAAGAAGTGGGCTTCAAACTCGCCTGAAGCTCTAGCCGATATTCCCGAAGATGATCTAGCCTTCGCGCCGTACCATGACCTTCAAGACGACCAATCCGTTTCCACTCTCGGACTCATCTGGGAACCGAGATTCGACATGATGTGCTTCAAGGTTCAGCTGCCACTACCAGCACCCGTTTTGACTAAACGGAAAGTTATGTCCTACGTTGCGCACATTTTCGACCCACTTGGCCTGGTGGGACCAATAATAGTCATCGCTAAGATGTTCATGCAGCGCTTATGGGCGCTGAAAACCGAAACAGGAGATTCTTATGAGTGGGATCGTCCTCTTCCTCCACATCTCCAGTCCGAGTGGAAAGAATTCCATGGAACGCTCGATACAATCGCCACACTCCGGATTCCTCGCTGTGTATCGTTGGCCAACACAACATCATTCCAGTTCCACTTCTTCTCCGATGCATCGTTGAAGGCGTATGGATCGTGCTGCTACGTCCGGTCAGAGACTGCCGGAGCCGTTAGAGTCCAGCTATTGACGTCCAAGTCCAAGGTGGCTCCGTTGGCCAAATCGCACACTATCGCACGTCTGGAGTTGTGCGCAGCAGTATTGTCGTCAAAGCTATACGAGCAGGTGGTACATTCCATACAGAAGCCCGCTGAAGTTTTCTTCTGGACTGATTCGTCCACTGTCCTGCATTGGTTGGAGTCATCGCCATCCAGATGGAAAACGTTCGTCAGAAATCGGGTAGCCATTATCCAGGAAACCACCTCAAATGACGGGGCTTACCCGTTCCTTTTCGAAGGATTTTCCACCGTCGTGAAATATCGACGGCCCAGAAGATTCTGTTGCGATGATTCACTGATTCTTCCACCTTGCTCGGACACTTTGTCACACAAATTGCTCCTGATGCACGTTTCGCACTGTGCACACTGCGCGCGATTCGGGGATTGCTTTATACTGATTAGCCACTTAAGCTAATAAAACGCCAAGAAACACTTTCGGACCACCAAGGAATTCGTTAAGTTATTGAACTATTTAATTTCGTTGCCTTTTCTTCCATGACCGGACAGCAGGACAGAAAAAAGGAATGTTTCGCTTCCGACGGTATATTTTGTACTATTCTATCTTTACAATGTGTTTCATCTCCTATCTATATACAAAACAGCAAAATGACCACTACAAGTGGACACTATTGTGTATTGCGCATGCGCGCAGCATCCTATTCGTTTATCTTATCATCTCTGGTTTAGGATTAGGGTGATACCGTTTTAGTTTTAGATTCGTTTCAATTTATAGAATTATGATTTAACTTTAAGTTTAGCTATAGGATTTAGTTAGTTCATTTAGGTTAATTAGGTTTAAGTTCATTTAGGATTAAATTAGTTTAAATTTAGTTCAACATCAATCAGGTGCGTAATTGTATTTGTAAACAATGGCTTTAGCCGTCGATTTCTCGCAAATAAAAGCTTACTCATGAAAATTAATTACACCAGCAGATAGAGGAATGTTTCCTCTACCAGTTAGCATTGTTAATTTGGAGGAGTGAGCTTTTATTTGTGAGAAATCGACGGCTAAAGCCATTGTTTACAAATTTTGTACAAAAACAATTATGCCCCTTTGAAATGTTGGCACTGATATATTCACTCTACCGATTACATACGGTTGCTTGCTTAAATTCATCTAAATCATTTAAAAATGTTGATGTCAGAACCGCATAAGAATTATTCTCATGAGTGTTTGATCATTGGAAAATGACAAGAAATCCAATGATAGGTAGTTTCGTCTCGTGATAGTGAGAGGACCTGTTTTCTCATTGTCACATGACGGCTGTGATATTTACCAGAAATTAGAAATTAGAATTCATGTAGGTGTTCCTTTCGAAGCTTGAGAATATTTATAAAGTTACATAAGTAGTTTCCGTATAAGACTGCACAAATTATGATTTTCTTGCTGACATGTATTCAAAGTTAAAAAAGAGGATCAAGTGCTAGAAGCTTCATCAAAGGTGAGCTAAAATGAACTATGCCCATTTTGTTCTGGTAAGTTTTGCTATAAGAAATGCTCCTCGAGTTTATTAGCAACATTCATATCAAAGGTTGATTAATTGCGTAGGAAATCAGTTTGGTACAGCATTTGTGACCAGCATACACCTTCCGGTCGTATGAAACAGGTAAAGAATTGTCCAAATCCGCCCATACAATCTTTTGTTTTGAATTTCTGAACTCACCAACACTGGGAGACCGTGAGCTCCTGCCCGCCTGTGATAAAACCAACAATCAATACGAAACTAACGATTTTAAATTGGCTCACTACTTGACTAGCCTATTGGTCCCAAGCAAACGATTAACGTACCCCATTCTTGTCGAAATTCTAGTACTACACTATGTTTTTTTTTTTTTTTCTCCCTTTTTATGGCACAGACCTGTTGGTCCATATTATACACTATGTTTGTTTTGATTCGCTATGAAAGTTTGACAGATAAAATGAGGGGTTCGTGGATTTTCCTATGTTTCGAGGGGTGCATCGATTAGCTTGGGACCGAAGAGAGTACCAGAGCTGAGCCAAAAAGTTGAGCTCGTTTCTTCGGGACCTTCTGGTCTTAGAGTTACCTATATGATAAAACCATCTCGGATCAAGTGTGTCCGCTGTCCCCTAATCTTATGAGATTTTTTAAATATTTTCATCACTTG